TTTTTGAAAAATAAAACTTTCAAGAAGGCTGTCCCAAAACCTGTTCAGCCAGATGTAAATATATTGTTTCATAATTTTTTAACAAAAGTTCAAGCATGGTTGAATATGCTGAAAGAAGATTGCACCAGAAGTGTGAACCCAGCTGCAACGGATCTTCTGTGGGAGACTTTCAGAAGAACCTTAGATTCTGAGTCACTGAAGCTATAGGACTTATGTCACTCTCAGGTGCTGGACAACTTCTCCAAACATCTGCATGCTTTCAAGTCAGAAGCTGCTGATATCTGGAACAAGAAGTCTTCTCTGATGATTGTTGATGCTCCAGTTGATGAAATGGACATATCAGAAGATGAATCTGAAGATGCCTCTGACGATTCAAACCCTCTGGCTATTGTTCTATTGAATCAACCTTCTGCTAAGGCAACTCCTGAACCCGTGCCGACTCTTGTGATGGATCTGGGCACACTGCTTTCAAACTTTGTGCATTCTGACTTAACAGTTGTTGCTCCAAAGGTTGTTTCTGCTGAAGCTTCGTCATCCTTTGCTCCTACATCACTTATCATGGATACTCTGAATGAGCTCAAGAGGGAGAATGAAGTCATTCATGAGCGCTTGGATAAGCAAGACCAGACAAATCAAGAAATCAGAAGCTGGATGATGAAACAAGAAGAATCTGACTCTGAGATCAAGAATCTTCTCATGGCCCTTGTTACTAAGAGATCCTAATGTCTTTCTATTTCTTGTCTTTTATTTGTTGTTTTGTACTTCTGGATATCTTTTCCTATTTTATGAAAACTTTTAAGCTCTTCAACTATTTTTTATACACTTTTTGATTATGCCAAAAAGGGGGAGAAAATGAATATTTTGATCTAATCTCTGATTAACAGTTATGGGACTAAGTCTCAGACATTCTAACAAAATACAAGATTTCTTTCTATGTGCAAAAGAATTTTTTTGCAGGTATCACTTAAACTCTGGAAGAGTAATTCAGCTGAACATTATCTTCAAAAGAAGTTCTGAAGAAATCCAAGAAGATATTTTCAATGCTCTCATAAATAATCTCAGAAAGTTTTATATATAGAAATGTTCATTTCAGGGGGAGATTATTATCTCTTATTATATTTTTATTTTTATATCTGAATATTTTTTGTCATCATCAAAAAGGGGGAGATTGTTAGAACAAGATTAGTTCTGATCTATCTCAGAGTTTTGATGATAACAATAAATTATATTTTAGATAATTTATACTCTGATGAACGTATTTAAATGTTTCAGATAATGTTCTGATAGAAGCATTTTGATGTGCTGAGCTAAAAATTATATGAAGAAGTTCTTTGATGAAAGAACTAGTATTGCTTTAAGCGCAACTGCTGACTCTGGTAAGACATTTATTTAAATGCATCTTCTAACAATTAGCAGGATTCCTTGTTCAGAAGTTTACTTGAAAGCAAGTGCTTTTCAGAAGTTTATTTGAAAGCAAGCGCTGATCAAGTTCTCAGCAAGCAAAGCATTATTTAGAAGATAAGAAAGCATGTTCTGAATACAAGACGTTGAAGAAAGATCTGAAAGATTGTAAAAGCCAACTTGTCTTGTCAAACTTCAGGAAACATATTCTTACAAGTGTCGTTTTCTCATTAATGCAAAGACAGCTGCAAGCACTCAAGTGTCTAAGCTAGTTTCTTGGAAAATGGAATAGTGCAAGGAAACACACAAGCATTTAATGCTCTCCATTTTTCTGAAGGCAACAACGGTCTTTTTGTTCCTACTATATATAGAAGGACATTTATTGCAAGCAAAAAAAAACAATCAATTTCAAAAAAAGAAGCAAGAAACTACGTGAAAAATTATGGGCTCACAAACTCTTTGTTCATACACTTTGTGCAATTTATTCTAAGTGAAAAATCGCAGTTGTGATATAGCTTGATTAGAAGCAAACTTTATTTCACTATCTGTAAAGATTAAACTCTTGTAATTGTTCCTTGAGAGACCAAGTTTGGTCAGATTTCTCAAGTAGACTAGGACTAGATTTAAGTCTTAGTGGTGTTAGTCACTTGTAAGATTACTTGTGCATTGTTAGTCACAACAGTTGTTCTGTGTTTGAAATCAGTTGATTATAGTGGATTAAGTCCTTGTTGAGAAATGAGAAATCACCTTGACGGGTGGACTGGAGTAGTTTGAGTTCAAACGAACCAGGATAAAAATAACCTTGTCTTTCCATTATTGTTGAGCTTTGTTTTGAAAAGAAAAAGAGTCACTTATTCAAACCCCCCCCCCCCCCCCCCCCCACCTTCTAAGTGTTTTCTTACCCCTTCAAACTCAACTTCGGTAGTAGAGAGTGCAACACACTTTTGCATCTTTGATTGCTAAGCCACGACTCCCCCGACAAAAGTCACCATATATCCCGAAATAGATTTTCGATCATCTAAGCTTCCGGCCAAATCCAAATTTATATATCCAACAAGCATAGACTTCCTACATCCAAAATTTAGTCTCAAATTCGAAGTGCCACACAAATATCTCATCAACCACTTCACGGCCTCCCAATGATATTTTCCCGGATTTGAGAGATGACGAACCACCATTTCCACGACATGAGCAATATTTGGTCTTGTACAAACCATAAAATACATTAAACTACCAACAGACGACGAGTACAAAATGTTCTTCATACTTAACTTTTCTTCATCCGTAGATGGACATAGTTTATGACTAAGTTTGAAATGAGAAGCAAATGGAATGCTCACCGTTTATCCTTATCCATACTAAAATGTCGAAGGACTTTCTCCACACACTTTTCTTGTGATAAGTACAACTTCTTCTCATTTCTATCTCGAATAATTTCAATACCAAAATTTTTCCGAACCTCTCCTAAATCCTTCATAGCAAAAGATTTACTTAATTTAGGGTGTTACACCTCTTCCTCTATTCACAACACCACCTCTTTGGTTGCATTGGTATGGTCTTCTTCTCTGATTCAACATGTTTTCTTTGTACTGGTTTCCTATACCAGTCGAATTGTTGTAGCCACATTTTACCTTTGTTGTCAAACCACTTTCCTTTGCTTTTCTTATATTTTGTTGATTGAGCCTGCAGAGCCACATCACTATTCGACTTGCCTGCAGCTCTTTCAGCCATTATTTGTTCGTGAGATTCCAGCGTTCCTTGAAGCTCTTCCTTTGATAAAGATGACATTTCATTTGACTCATCTATGGCAACTACCACATGGTCGAACTTCGAAGCCAAAGATATTAAGATCTTTGAAACAATAACTTTTGTTGATAACGTCTCTTCACAAGTCTTGATTTGATTCACTAGTTTTGTAACCCTAGTGAAGAAATCATATATGCTTTCGCTATCTTCCATCTGAAGCAATTCATACGTTCTTTTGTGAGTTTGTAACCTCACCTCTTTCACCTTCTCAGCGCCTCCATACGATTTCTTCAGAATCTCACATAATTCTTTTGCACATTCAACATCACTAACTTTTCAAAATTGTCTGGACTAACACATTGGTGAATTATAAAGAGAGCTTTATAATTCTTCTTCTTTGATTCTTTGTATTCCTTCTCTTCTTCTTCAGAGGCGTCTTCTTCAAGCGGTTCTAATCCATGTTTCACAAGATCCCAAAGACCTTGAAAACAAAATATAACCTCCATCTGTTTGCACTAGTTCTCATAGTTATCACCTTTAAGAATCGGGAGACTTGCTGGAAAATTTTCGTTAACGTAATTCATTATCATCGTGAATTTTTTCTTCTTCCTCGATCGTTCTTCCCTTGAATCACTCAACCAGAGCTCTTGATATAAGATGTTGAAAATCCATCAAAATCCATGATGAATTTCTTATCAATCTTGATGAACAAAATTGATATCACCACACAATGATAATGAAAAATATAAAAGAAAGAAAACAATTATTTTTCTGCAGAGTTTGTCTCTGTCCACAATTTGTGGAAAACTTTATTCACTTGCAACTGCAAATTCTGTTAATACAACTTGATTGCTTTGATTACAAAAAATAAGGGTTACTCTCTCTATTTATAAATTTAGGTTAACTTGCTCCTTAAACTAAAACTCAAAACTATGAAAGCCCAAAATACATATTTTGGAACTAAATCAAATCTATTCTATTTTAGATCTAAATCAAATCTATCTAAATCTAAAATCAAATCCGTATCAAATCTGTGTGTAGCATCTTCGACACACCTGCTTCGACACTTCCTTATTTCTGTCGAGCAATCTGCTTCGACACAAACAATTATACTTTCAACAGTCATTACTAACCAAATAAGCTAGCAAGTAAATAAAAATTGAAATATTCTCTGAAGAAATAAAAATTGCCATCATCTAAAATATTCTCTCCTCCTTTATTCTCACTAAATCTCAGTACGACCTTCTTTTCTAACACACAATAGATAACAAAGTTCTCCATCAAATTTTTGATGGAAGGCCAACTAATATAATTGGAGAGATCGACACTCTTTTGACCTTGCAGAATGAGACAATGTGTCTAGAAGTATGTAGTTTTATTACTTAAAACTTTGATCTTTAACAGCTTTTCACACAAATGAAATGTTTTTAATATACAACAACTATGCCTTATCCTTTTAAGTGAGATCGGTTACATGACTCAACTTTCGTCATAATGTTCTATCAAGGACCATGTTTCTATCCAAATCATTAATTTCGATATTTTTCTTGATAACTTCTCTTATAGTCTTTTTGAGTCTTCCTCTTCCTCGAATTATTAAAGAGAGTGTTGAAGTAGCACCTATTATAAAGAAGATGGTGGACAATAGACGAGAAAGAAAAATGAAAATGCCTGCTAGGCATTCATCCTATGGTAAACTATGACAAAAATTTTAGGAAATCAAAATACTTTAAAGACAGGTGCATGGAGTAATGCCTCTCTCCCTTTGACTTCGGTTGTAGCCTATCCCCTCTTGTTTTCACTATCACTATCACTAAAACAAACAGCATCTACTGTTGCTCCTTGAACCACTTTTATACACGTGTATTCATTGGATAACAACCAAGAACTCGAAGAAAACTCGCAACTTCCTGAAATGTAAATGCCAAAAACAGATGTTACCAACAACTCGAGATAGCTTCTGATATGAACGCTTAACATACTGTTGAAAACACTAAAGAAAGTCTTCTAACTGGGATGCTGCTTAGTAAAAAATCACAATGATGCGGCTTTCGTGACAACGTTGCGGAATAAATTTGGTAGAGCAAATAAGGAGAAAATATTAAGAAGCGTTCAGGTGACATAGAAGTTATAGATGAACCTGCAACTTTCCTAAAGCATTTTGTGCACGAGGTTCTGCCATTGATGCTTCAAAATCGATGTAAAAGAGGTAGTCAAAATACCTGCCACCAGAAAATGTTTATTTTCAAAATAATAGATACAATAAACTTCCATGCAAAATACCAGAAAAATAATAATGAATTAAAACCATTTTAAATCTATGAAGCACGGACATCTGTAGAATTAGTGGATGTTATCTTTCAACAGACTGTCCGGGTGTCCAACACATGTCGGTGTCCGACACTTGTATGACACCCGTACGACACATATTAGATAATTCACACTAATATTTCAAAAGCAATTGTTTTTTCTTTAGTTCGACACACCTTATATATTTCTTAGACAAGTATCAAATACATCTAAAGCGTTAAAGATGTGTGGAAACAATGTTGATCAATGAAGGGTTAAAGATATTAAATTCATCTAGAACATTTTTCACTTTTTCAATAGTAAACTGATAAATGAAGGTCAAGTTCTATCATATATGTGACGGTATCAGTTTCCTATGTCTTCTACAGTAGTGGTGTCAACATGTTTGTATCGTGTCAAGTGTAGTGCTTCATAAATTTAAACCAAAAAATAGGATAATCTTAAAACATGCTAGAATCATAAAAACTGGTTCAATCTGGTGGTCAGAACTTAGAACCAATTTGTGTTAAACTTGAAAATTTTACGCACTAAACTCAAAACTATGGAAAATCTCAAATAGGGAACAAAGCAACTCACTTGAAACTCCCTCCATGTGAATCATCAACAATTCTTAAGGGGCGCTGTTTCAGTGGACGACTCTCTATCTGAAATAAAAAATAATGAAAAAGTTAGAACAATAATTGAATGTGTGTTTTAGTTTCAAAAGTTCAATGTCAATTAACCAACTCGCCTTTGACAAATTAATATCCCTCATATAAAACACCGCCAGTGCTTTGAATAGTGCACCTGGACCTTCTTCTAAGCTGAAAACAATGCTAGTCTGAAGAAAAATCACAAACCTCTCAGCAAGTTTAAAATGTAACAAGTAGTATTTATATAAAACTTGTATACCTTATGAGGCCCTGCAGTTCCTGGAATTCTAGGCTCCCTCGCAAGGACCAAGAAACGGGTAACGATTTCATCATCATCCTATTAAGATAGCAAAAAAAAAGCTCCACTTTAATCATGACTTAGACCAGCAAACACATATTATTACATAAGTTAAGGCAATTTTCTTTAGCAGCTCGATCTTCGAAAACGTATAAATGGAGTATTACCTGAATTCCTTCGGCAAGAATGTCCAGGCCATATATTTCTGCAGCTCGGGAACTTGCAATAGCTCCAGTTTGTCTTACACAATTTATGGCCACTGTCTGTCAACAAAATCTTAATAGTTATGATCTTCATCCATTCTTAATACAAATGAAAGAAAAATAAGTATACCAGATACATGATAAACAACCAACCTGAGGATGACTCATAACACCGTTGAGCTCGTCTTTTGTCACACCAGACAATCCTAAGAGACATTGGTTAACACACTGCTGCACCTCACCAACAATGTGCAATCTATGTCGAAGAAGTAAGTCATAATTGCGGTGGATGCTTCCATCCACAGAATTTTCAATTGGTAGAACGGCTTTATCAACAAACCACAGTTCAACTGCCTACAGGTAGAATACGAATCTATCAATACAGCAGTTATAATTCAAAAGTTAAGGCATCAAGTCATAGATTGAATAATGGAACCTTAAATGCAGCTTCATAATCGTCTAATGGCACAGTCTCACATTTTGGATACGCTTTCAAAGCTGCGTCCTCACTATAAGCTCCCGGCAGTCCCTACATTGAACAAATGATTAGTTAGCAAAAGAGACAATGTCCTCGATATTTCAGCTGAATAGTAAATAGAAATGATTACGAAATATACCTGATAACCGACGCGCAACTTTGATCCATCCCTTGCAGAAGAAGAATCATCCGTTAACGTTAACGGCTCTACAATTATACAATTTACATCGTCATGCTAACACGGATGTTAATAATTACATCACAATCATAATTATTCTATAGCCATTCTACGAACACCTAGCAACGACAGCTTCAACCACAAAAACCATTTCCCCAAAGTTCATAATTGATATTAACAATCAATGATGATATTATAGAGAAAAGACACAGCACATGAAAATGGTCTGAAAAACTCACTGGGAAGCATGTTGATGTCTCTGTGAAAGCCCTTGGAGTAATTCTGATAAGCAGAATGAAGCAAGGACTTTTGAACTTCAACAGGAATGGTAGCTCTCTGTTGATGAGATGAAACAGTGAAACAACTACATTTGTTCACCTTTTCATATCTTAGTTTCCCAATCAACACAGGACCTACCTGTGGATGAGAATTGGAACAACAACCCCATATGAATGTAGCAGCACCCTTATCAAGAACAAAATCAAGAGCCATAATTCAAAATCAAACAAAAATAATATACACTATAGTTCAGAGTTCAGAACCAGAATTGAGTTTTGAACAATGTTTAAGAATTGGAGAAAAACAAAACAAAACAACACAAAAAATTTGAAGGTAGTTGTACTGTGTTTGTTAAGACTCAAGAAGACACTCTGTAACCAACCCAACCAATTTTGTTTATATATGTACTTCAAATTGAAAGATAGTAGACATGCTTTGAATTTTTGGTGTCAAGTTTTTTTAATATAAAATTAAAAATTAAAATTGCTTTAATTACCATCTAAGGTTTTCAATGGGTGATGTATATGTTTAATTAATGTTAGATGTGTTCATAGAATATAAGTGGGTAGATTGAAAAGATTGCAATTTTACCATAAATAAAATGAGTTAATGCAATGTACCAAAAATTGTTTAAGGAAAATGCAATGAATAACAAAAATGTGAATGGATGTACATTATTATTTTTATTAAAATAGTATATTTTTTTACCATTATAAGGCTAAAAGATAAACATGTAAAAAACATAAACATTAAATAATAATAATAATAATAATAATAATAATAATAATAATAATAATAATAATAATAATAATAATAATAATAAATAATAATAATAATATAAAAATAAAATATAAAGTAAAATGAAGTACTATAATAATTATATGTATCAAACTTCATTCCCAACCTGATTTATAACAAAATAATTTTTAATTTTATGCGCGTAATTATAGAGACTAATTACTTGAGTCAGAAAGAATCACAACAAACAATAAAAATTTTCTTTAAAAAATTTAAAACTTATGTCTAAAGCTGGATTAAACTCATAACCTCTAGTGTAATAATTGTAAGTATTTTGGGTCGGCTAAAGGCCCAATGCAAGGGTCCAATTAAGCACAGGCTCAATCACAATAATACAACGTATAAATTCAGCACATGTGAGATTCATGGTACAATTTTCTAATCTCCACTTTTTACTATACTCTTTTGGGACTCTGAACTGATTTGGGCATTGGAGTGTTAAAATTGCAGGTTCATCTCGTGCCATCGTACCCGGGATCAACATCACTGAATTCAGAGTTCTACGTCATCAATCAACACCAATTTTGAAAATATATTATAGGGTCAGTACCGGTCAAAAAGTACAGGTGTGTGTGGTATCCCTACAAGGCTAGAGGATACTCAGAGGTCTTAGTAGATTTATAACAATTAGCGCTTGCCCGCGGTGGTGAGAAGTCATGTATAGTGGTGATATGGTGTTTTAGGTCGTACGAGAGGGAAACTCACGTCAGGTGAGAGGCTATGCGATATGCGTAATGTTAGTTATGTTATGATCTCCTATATCCTATCTCCCTTGGGCCCCCTTTACTGGGAGAGACTGTTATAACCTATTTTCCAAGAAATCGTGGTATGACTTAGTCTGTATGACTAGTGGAGTATGCTACCCAAAGGCAATGCTCAGTCGACACCTCACAAGGCAGGAACCCTTGTGTAGCTCTTATATGAGACTCTCACAAATATAACACTACAAAATTCCTCAAGCACGAGGGCTTGAAAAAAGGGCGAAGTGTTTTAAGACTTACTTCGGATTCTGTCTCGTGGTATGAGATGAGTCTTTTAATAGGAGACATGTTCCTTGTCTTGGGGCATGGCCCTTTCGAATGGGAGGCAAGACCCTCAGCATTGGGCTAATCCCTCAACTCGAGGCATTCTTTTGAAGGGGAGGTGAGTCTCTCAGCTTAGGGAAGGGTATCTATCTCTAGCTAGATGTTTCCTGGATAGTCAAGCAAATATGTCAAGTTTCTTTTGATTGAACTTTGAGACGTCAAAACGTAAATAAATTGTGAAAGTTTGAGTGCTTTAGTGGAGAAAGAGTGTGAATAGCATTTAAAGAAAATCATGATGTCATTCTTGAGAAAACCAATCAGCCTCTTTTTCTTGCACACATCTTTCATGTGTAAGAGTTTTTCCGCCCCGCGTGGCAGTTATCCCATTAGCGGGATATATTGCTTGTGCTATTGGATTTCTATAAAAGAGATTGATACACTACTCTAAAAAATCTTTTTCTCTTCTCCCTCTTCTTTTCTACTTTTCCCTTCTCAAAAAAATACACAGGTATAGGACAATTTTGGAGGACGAAAGAAGAGGAGGGTGAGAAATTTATTCCTTTCCTAGGACATAAACACCAATATCCTTACTCTTACATCAAAAGTAAAAATAAATAAGAAGAATATTAGACATATTCATGCTCGAGATATTACATCCTTGTACTCCAATTCTAACATAATTCGACAGGTTTCGTCGGAGCATTAGGATTTTATTCTATTGTGAAAATGGAATCATACTACAAGCATCATAATGCTTTTACTACAAATAACTAACAAAATTAGGAAGAATCACGTTACCTGATTTGGCTGCATCACACAACAAAAAAATCCCATCTTCTTATAAATTAGAATTATTACTTCTCTTTCCCTCGTTCATTCAAATTTCTTTTTTCCTTCTCTAATATTCTTTACAAATCAAAGCAAAAATTGAAATATATTCTTCACAAATTCTTTCTTCAAATCTCTTCTTTACAACAACAGCAACAGTACATTGTGATATACATTAACTCTTCAATTTAGAGAAAAAAAAAGGATTTTTTTTATGAGAAAAAAGTATTTACATGTGTGTTTGTAATTAAGTATGAAAATTAAAAATAAGAAATTTTATGAATGCGCTTGAAAAGCACTCAACAACCATGATACTTATATACACTATCTAATTAATTCTATATTATGTTTATAAAGAGAAATAAATAATAATGAAACTCCCTAAATGCATGAATCTAAATATATATGAATCTAAGACTTAAATGATCATTTTAATGAGAAACATATAATATACTTTTTCTATTTCTAACACTCCCCCTCAATATTGTGAGTAAGTATTCTTCATTATCAGTTTTGATACAATTACTTCAAAATTTAAGCCACTTAATTCTTTAGTGAGAATATCCACAAGTTATCCTTGTGAAGACATATATGAGGTGCAAATCAGCCTACTATCAAGCTTCTCTTTAATGAAGTGTCTATAAACCTCAATATATTTAGTTAGATCATGTTGAATTATATTATATACTATACTAATTAATTACATATTATATTATGTTTATAAGAAGAAATAAATAATAGTTCAACTCTTTAAATACATGAATTTAAAAAAAAAAATAATGAAATTAATTGAAGAGAAAAAAAAAGAATTAGGAAACCATAAAGAAGAAGAAAAGAAATAGAGGGAGAAAGATGATCGTGTAGTGGGGGTGTGTTTCACTATATAAAGATAGCTGTCAACCTTCCTTGTCCCTGTTAGATACATTAAGCTCCCCATAATTTGCTTGTAAAGATGGCTGTCAACAAGCTTCAGGCCTACTTCAATAGGTGTAGCAGCAGGATTGCATTCTGACATCTGAAATCCATCTAAAATTTCTTGCACATAATTTTTTTATGAGATAAAAAAGCCAGCAGCAGATTACACCACTTCAATGACCAAAAAATAGTGCATTTTGTCAAGATTCGACATGTTTAATTCCAACATCATAAATTTCTTGAACCTTTCAAACATGTTGAGGTCATTCTCAATATAGATCAAATTATTCACATACAAGCACACGATGAGCAATTTTCCTCTTCCCCACTTTTTAGAAAAAATGTATGCTCATAAGGACATTTTTGAAAACCTTCCTTCAAGAAATAAGCTTCAATTATGCTAGACCAAGCACATGGCGCTTGTTTTAATCCATACTAAATCTTCTTTAGTTTATAGACTTTGTCTTCACATCCAGACTTCATGTATCCAGAAGGTCGATCAATGAACACTTGCTCCTTAAGATCCCCATGTAAAAATGTTGATTTCACATCCAATTGGAAGATGGGTCGTGATTTTTGTGCAGCTAAAGCAACTACCAATCTAATTGTATCATGTCCTGCAATTGTAGCAAATACTTCAGTATAATTCACTCCAAACTCTTGCTTGTAATCTGTAGCGATAAGTCGTGCCTCATACTTGTCAACCTCTCCATCTTCGTTGAGTTTCATTTTATACACCCCCATTTCACGTCAATAGTCTTCTTCCCTTGTGGAAGATCAACCAGCTCCCAACTGTTGTTCTTCTCAATAGAAGAACTTTTTTCATTCATTGCTTTATGCCACTTTGGTTCTTTAATAGCTATACTTTAAAGACGTTGAAGAAATTTTATACACATGTATCCATTTAGAAACAGGTGCATTCTTTGACTCTGGTTATAGCCTAGCCGCTCTTGCGGTCAGTAAAACTGTTAAATAAGGAGTAAATTTCTACTTCTTGTTGTTTTTGAAAATAAAATACAATCTTGGTCTTTATATAGACCCAAAAACTTCTACTATTCTAGGAAAGTAAATACTATTATAACCCACTATCATTTGACCTTCCAAATTACATTTGATTTTTACCCTTCCCACTATCTTATTTAATAAAAAACTCACTACTAATAACATTTAAAGTTTATCCAACAAAACTCCTCTGTAAACTTAAATGTTTCTTCCATCCGTCATGCCTATCAATTTCTTGCCTCTGTCAAAAATTTCTTTCGATAATGGTTTAGTGAACATATCCGCTGCTTGATCCTTGCTTGTTACATGCCTCAATTCGACATTTCCTTCCTTCACATGTTCTTGAATGAAGTTGAAGTGAATGTCAATGCGTTTGCTTCTTTCATGGTTCACTTGATTCTTTGCCAACTCGATTGCTAAATTGTTGTCAACTTGTATTATAGTTGCACCTTCCTGTTTTAGCTCCATTTTCTCATTAATCTTTTAAGCCATACTGCATGAAAAACGCACCAAGATGCTGCCACATATTCAGCTTCACACGTTGAAAGTGTTACTATAGGTTGCTTTTTAGAAACTAAGTAAATGCAGTGTTTCCCATGAAGAACACATATCCAGAAGTGCTTTTTTGATCGTCTATATCTCCTC